TACAGTAAACGAAGCTCTTTTTAACTCTAGAAAAATATTAATTCAATTAAATAATTTTAATTGTTTAATTTTAGTCATTTTACCTGACATTTTAGATGTAGAAGTGTCTTGGAAGATCTCTATCTCGCTACACAAAGTGCTTAAATAACCATTATCCTTAATTGGTATAATTGAAAAGGAAAGCTGCTCTTCTTTCCCAAGACCTTGGCATAACCTCAAATTAATAATTCCTAACTAGTTTCGGATGCTCCTGCATTCCCATCTTGCCATCAGATACATTTTTTAAGGCATCCCAAATGCCGAAACGCGGACCGCAGGAGGCCCAAAAGCTTGGAGAGGGACGACGAGAGCTTCCTCACTTCATTGCTGCATGAATAATATTCGTAATTTGTCAAAAGGTTGGCCAAATCCCAAAATACAAAAACAGCAGCGGCCCAAACAGAAGATGAGGGAAAAAATGGAATCCGAAAACAGAGCTGCGATTGAGCCACAAGGCCCCCGAACGCCTCTGCCATGTCCAAAACTGACCCATCTCCGACTGCTGGGCCCCCAAGGACCTTTGGCGAGCTGTTGCCATTACTCTGCGCTCCTCAGCTGTCCAGAAAGGCGGGGGGCGTGGAGAAAAGGGGGCGGGGTGACCCAACCGAAATAAAAGCGAAATTTCCTCATCGCATTTGCTGCGCTTTATTAAACTTTTCCACCCAACACCACAGAGTGTGTGTGTGTGTGTGTGTTTTTGTGAGTTGGAAATCCCCAAAGTTCCTGCGTCATTTTTTTGTGCTTCACGTTGATTTTTTGACAGACCCTGACAGAGGGGTGAGTTTTTCTATTCATATATGTATCTGTGTATATATTTAGAAAAAATCTTCACGCATTTGGCAAATTATCTTTTGATCCGTCCGCTTAAATTGCCAGCGGCAAAAAAAATCAGAAAAATTGCTTTGCTCAAGTGATTTGAGCTATCAAATACCTGGCAAAAAATATTTTGGGTCAAAGTTACTGTTTTTCGGTCAAAGTTACTGTTGAAAATTGGAACCACACCTATTGAAATGCAAGAGATTATTCCCAGTTTATAAGATCGGGTAATTTTAATCAGCATTATAAAAATGTATAAACAAACTAGTTAATTTTGCAATGATAGCCAATATTTTCAAAGCAATTCTTTCTAGAGTACAGGGTATTTATATCCTGAGAAAGGCAGAGAAAAAATACGTTAACACAATTTCACTTTGGGTGGACACATCTAAGCCGGGTCAATCGTCTGCCTAAGTAGTTGTTTTCCACCCACCGCCCCACTGTCGCTCTTGTGCCATCGAAAAGTAGTTTGCGCGCAAATCCTCAAGTTAAGCAAAACTCTCCAGGACATTAAGTGCAGCGCCAACAGACAACAAAGTCCAGGAATGGCAAAGTTTCCCACTCGCCTCGTCTCGCCTCGCCTCGCCTCGCCCCGTTGGCAACTGCCAAACGGATGATGGCCGGGATCAACGTTTTACCAAAGCCAGGGCAAAAGTTTTTCCAGCAGACAACGTGCAACTTTTTGGCCAGCGAGAAGTTCTTTTCATTGTCTTGAACCCCACTGACAGCTTCCGAAGGGAAGAGGGGTGGAAACTGTCGCTTATAATGCGCACAATGAAGTGCACTTTTCCTACTCGCAATGGCCAGAATTGAAAAGTGCTCAGCTTTGGCTCCGCTGGCATAAATATTTCCATTTTACGTAAGCGAGAGATTTCCCACGGAATTTGAGTGAATCAGAATGAGCAGCTCTGACAGCGGCAATAAAAAATGCATTTATACAAGGGCAGCTAAATCTGATATTGGGTTAGCTTTCAAGACTTTTATTTTTTTTTAAATGGGTGAAGAAAGGTCATTTAAATCATTAATGCTTACAAATTAAAATTTAAAGCTCCTTTAAATAAAAAAAGTTAAATAATATTATTTCAAATATAAGCGCTGATTTTTATTTTATATGATTGAATTGATTGACCAACTGTGATAAAAAATATGCTAAACTAGCACAAAAAATTTAAATTGCATGTAACATGCTTAAATATGGTCTTGTAATTGTTTTTATTTTCAAATTTCTCGGCACAATATTTTACTCTTTGTTTAAACGACAAACTTTATGTAATGTTTGTTCTCTGTGTGTAAATAAATACAGAGGAGGCCAGGCAACCAGCAAACACTTGTTGCAAAAATTTGTTGACTGTCGCTTAAATTTATGACCCCAAAACTCGAGGACGGCAAAAAGAGCCAGCAGCATTCAAAGGATTCGGCTTGGACTGCAAGTTTTCCTCCTCAACTCCCCAACAAATTATCAAATAGAAGCGAGATAAGAGGGGAATGGAGGAGGAAATCGAGTTGAACTTGGTAAATATCAAAACAACATTATGGCATGAGAGCCGAACGAAGGGCCCAAAAGCGGGCTCCAAGCCCCGGAGCCCATTGTTGCTGACTGCCATCCATGAGTTACAACTTAATTGAAACGGAGTTTCGTTTTTCCTATACTTTTTTATTTCGAAAAAGCCCAGAACAGACTCTTCTCGCCTTGCCCAGTCACGATCGGAACCTTTGTGGCACCTTTATCTTTTTTTTGTTCGCCTTAGTTGTTTCCTAATGCACGCTTGAAAAATGTCCAGGCGTTAAGTAGTTGCAATCGTGTTACAGTGGACAAGTTGAGATATAGAAGGTGGTTTAATGGATGTATAACAACTGTATATGCAAAAGTAATAAATATGTTAATAACATTGAGTGATTGCAATCCAAGTTTATTGTTATGGAATAGTTTTTTTAAAGAACATTTGTAGAATAAAATTAATTAAATTCAAAATATCAATCAATAAACAAAAGTTGTCTTGCTACAAATACGAAAGTAATAAATATAGAAGATTAGCACAACATAGTGTTGGGGACTATTATAATACTTTAATGGCTTTAATTAGTATTTATAATTTGTTTTACGATTATTCTATTCTGTTCATTTTGAGCTGTTTAGGTTAAGAGCAAACTTGATGGTGCCAATCGCCCAATACAGTCCCAACTATCCCAAGGCCTTCAAGCAATTTTCGATTATTTGTCCCACTGTCTCAGACTATTTATGGGCTATGCAAAATGCAACACAGACTGGAGATGAGGGGCAAAGGGGGGGCCAAGGCAAAAACCTAAGCAGAAATAAACTCGTATGCATTTAATCATCGTAACTTAAGCTCGGGGATCATGTTGTGGCACAGTGAGAATGCCGCAGTTGCCGCCGCGGGAGATGCGGACCGAGCTTTGGGCCAACTCCAGCTTTAATTCCCCGTCCCCGTCCCCGTCCCCGTCCCCGACCCCACACCCTCCCCATCCTCTCTGACCGCTTCATTTTTAATAAAGAAAAGAAGCAAAAAAATATAATAAGAGAAAAGAGGGGAAAACTTCGTGTCACCGTGGCAGTTGCCTTCCTTCTCTTTATTTTTTAAGGCGCGTTCTTCTTATTTTTTTGCACCGCCGCAGAGGCAGAGGCGTAGAGGGATGGAGGGAGGGGATTAAGACGACGGAGTGGCCAATGCGGAGTGGTGCTATGAATGGAGCCTCGGCGTGTTCTGGAGATTAATAAATTGATGGCATCCATTGCACATAACGTGTAACTAATGGCGCTCATCAATTCTGCTTTACATCTCAATCTGGCTTTGGCGAAAAAATACAGTCAGCAACAAACAAAAAAACCACAACATCATCCAGGGAGGGGGATGCGGATGGGGAGAGCTCCTTGGATTCGGTAATGACCCAGGAGCAGGTCAGCTGGCTGAGAGGAAAAAGGACCGACCACTTGAGGCCGGCTCTCACTTTCTCCGGGGAAAAGTGAAATGCCAGCGGAATTCTATATTTGGAAAGGACTCGCCTCCTTACACCAATACCCAATTCCCTTGAAGGCAGGCGAACACCATCCCCACTTATGCAACATCCTTTGAATCCGAAGCCGGACCACATGCAGTCTGTGTGCTCTACTTTCCAGCTCTCATTAGTTACGCCTCGGGTTTTTGGCAAACCTTTTTCTGGCAGGATTTTGGGACTATTGTCGATTTGAATTAGCCAGCAGGACCGCCTTCTGGGTTCGGATCTGCTCGACAAGCGGAACCCGAGGAGCACCTCTTCCGCCACCTCTTTCATCATCTTTCATCTGCCTGCATTCATCGATTTTAGCATTTGGGAAATTCGCAAATTTGGACGAATGTCAGGTATCGAGGTGCCCTTTGCAGATGGATTACGACTAATGTCGAGCAATTGGCCAAGGCAATAAAGTGAAATTACCCGGACGTGTCAAGGTCGTCTTCGAAACGTTGTGCACTGAGTGCAAGCAAATACAAGAATATTTGCAAAAAGAGTTTGGCAATGTGATGTGTGATTTGCTTTTAAATTAAGATGCGGTATTCGTTTAACTACTAATGTTTAACTTTTACAGCCTTTAAATTTAAGGCTTTTGGTACCGTGAAAATAAAATAGTCAAGTATACAAATTAATATTTTGTAAAACTTTTTCTTGTAAAAAAATAACATTGGGAAATATATTTTTACAATTTGGTTTGTAATAAAAAATAATAATTAAATAAAAAAAGTTTTTTTTTTTAAATACAAAATAAAAACAGGGAGAAAAAATAAAACTGATTATTGATTTTTAAATTGCAACCGTCTGCCGCTTGAGAACACTGCTTTGATTAAACGCTGGCTATTCGATCTTATACTCCATCTTATAACCGATCTTATATCAAGCAGTCAAAGTAGTAAACAGCACAGAAAGCAGTGGTGTGTGGACTGCTTTCTCACAGCTTGGAAATACGAGGTTCGCTGTAAAAGTTTGAATGACTTATTTCTAACAAAACTATTAGCTCTTGCTGTTGTATGCACAGTTACATTACTAATGGGAACTACGATCAATTCTAAACGGGGACTAACTACTGCAACCCACTACGATAAGAAGAAGAAAAATTCCACTTAATACGTTTCGTGGAATTGTCGATCACTTTCCTTGACACTTACCAAACTGACTTCGCATCCAGGGATACAGTGGAGACGGCATCCCCGAGGACTGCGAGTTCGGGTTTTGGGAAGGGGGCGTGTGTTGGCCTGGGTGGCCCTGGTGCATCTGCGGCGGACCCTGGCCCTGGTGCATCATTCCCTGGGGCGGTGCCCCCACCGGCGGAACGCCCGTCTGCTGCTGGTACATGCCCATGTTGTGGTGGTTCTGATGGACCTGGGATGGAAAATATTACAGATTAGTAATACTCTTTTTTTTTAGATGGGTTCAAACTTTGGGAGGAGGTGTTGTGAAAATAGGTGGCAAGCGGAATGTGGACTCGGTCTTACCTCTGTCACGTCGGGAACGCCCACGTCCGTGTAGCCCAACTGCAGGTGCAAGCATCAAAAGCGAGAGTGAAAAAGATGGGAAAAGCGTTAAGTGGTTGGCGAAATATGCGTATATATGGGTTGGGAAGCTCTAAATACGATTATCGATTTGGGAAAACATTATAAATAACTCAAAGGAAACCACATAAAGTTCTAATCACCCGAAAAACTACAAGACAACAATATGATAATATTAGTCTGATTGCCCAGTTAACGTTAAGAGTGAAATGCTTAGGACTAGGATTTATTTTTGGCATAATTGGGTTTTATATGTTTCCATTTATGTGTGATTTCATTAATTTAAATAAGTTGATATCGGTTTTATTTAAGATAATTATTTTAAAATTGTGTTGTATATGAAAGGAATTGTATCAAATACTCAAAACCCCGAATTCCTTGATTTTAGGAAACAATTTCCTTAATTTTATGAATAATTGCTTTAAATTTGAGCCTAAAACCTAAAACGACTCTTAAGGCAATGATTGCCCCAAATTTCTTAAATGAATGCAATTTTTCCTAAAATCTTTTTTTCTGAGTGTAAGAATGTTTTTAATATAATACAAATTACGATTTTTAAATTGAAAATGTGCCTTATAAAGTCAATAATAAAGATTTGGTTGCATTAGTTAGTGCATATATTACTTTTTTTTATGCCAAGTGATGTTATATCGACTATAGATACTGTTAACCCTTTAATTCCGCTAATTTACTTAAAGCTGATTAAGTCGCTAAGCCTTTCTACCAAAACCCATCAAAGCTACAATAGTGTTAAGGCAAGATCCTTCAGCTCACCTGCGCCTGCGGATGTCCCATGTGGTGGGGCAGCGTCATCTGGGCGTTCATGTGGTGTCCGGACATCTGATCCACCAGCGGGGGCGAACCGCCTTCGGGCACCATGCCCAGTCCGCCGACGGCCGCCTGCAGCTTGCAACTGGCGTAGACGACGGGCTGCTGCTGCTGCTGCTGCGGATGTGTCACCTGTTGCGTCACCTGCGGCAGCTGCTGCTGCAGTTGCTGCTGCGGGGCTTGCTGCGCCTGCTGCTGCTGCTGGTTCTGCGTGGGCTGTTGCTGCTGCTGCTGCTGCTGTTGCTGCTGGGGCACCACCAGCTGGCCGTTGGTCTGCGCCTGGGGCATGACCCCGCCCACCTGGCTGGAGGGGCTGTCCGGGCGGGAGTAGACCTGGTGCTGCTGCTGCTGCTGCTGCTGCTGGTCCATCCCCTGGCCGTTGTAGTAGGGCATGCGGTCGTAGGGCGGGAAGCGCGGATAGGGCATGTTGCCCTGGTGGCTCGCGTTCTGGCTGTAGTGGTGCATCTGCTGGGCGTCCAGGTCGGTGACCCCGTTGCCCGGGTAGTGGCCATGGTGCATGTCCGCCCCCATGTACGAGTTGGTGAAGTACGAGGTCATGCTCTCGCAGTTGTTTGTACTCATCGTCATCGTGGCAGCTTCCTCAGCGTCCGCTGATCCCGCCGCAAGCCCTGATCCTGGAGTGAACGTGATCGTGACTGTGACTCTGCTTAGTGGCTAGTGACTGTGGTGCTCCTCCGTCTCCGTGCTTTTAGCTACTTTCCTTATATACAAAGTAAACTGGAAGAAAAATCTGTGATTAGTTTTATTGATATTTGGAGTTAGAAAACAAAATAATATCAACTAAGTTTGTCATAAAAGACTTTCTTAATTTTCACATTTTTAACTAATTTTATCAAATAACTTGTTGTCATCACTGATATTTCTCCATGTACATAGGTGGTGTATACTCACCTAAATAACCTTTGAACACTTAAGTACAATGTACAGTTGCGTAGCCTAGTCTTAGTTAGTGTGTAGTTGTTGTGTGAGGTATAAAATGATTTCCGCTTTGCTGTTCCTCTGTTTGCTGTCTTGGCCAAAAATGACGAAATTAAACTGCTCCTCGTCTCTCGATTTGGTAGAAAATCTCCTCTCCTTGGTGTTCTTTGATCCTTAAGTAGCCTTATCCTCTAGTTGGTATTCCTCAATTTTGATTTTGAAACTCTGTAAGCAATTGAAGACGAAATTGTGGATTATTGTTGATGTTCTCTGTGCAAAGTTTTAGTTTAAAGTGAAGTTCGATGTGTGTTTTGCCTGCCCAATTTCACAATCTCCCTAAGATGGGAGCAACATGTGGAGTCCACTGACAAATGGTTTATTGCATGCTTCGACAAATTCTTAAAAATATGCCACCGAATCGGCTTTTTGAATGAGGGAGGAGTTTGAAGGGTGTGTTAATTCGGCTTAAGTTTAGGTTTCATATAAATGAATTTGAGAATATTCTTTTAATGTGTTATTAATTCATAAAATTTGGTTCAATCCTTTGCATAAGATAAACTGATGTCATTGATCATTGTCAGACTAAAATGTACACTTCAGGACCAATTGAACACCTCTGTCAACCCTACAATTGTCCTTGTTGCTGAAATTCCACAAACTCTCAAGCCAAGATGACGTTCTGCAATTTCCCCCCGAGAACTTTTGTAATCCTCAGACCAGAGATCTTCCACTGGCATGCAATTGCCCCCGTTTTGCCCCGCGCTTGACAAGCTGACAACATTCATTGAATTTATGAATATGAAATCAATTGTGTTATCCCCTTTTGACCTGACATCCTTCCGGTCAAAGTGATTTAATTTCCTGGCTCATTATCACGAGTCTCTGACCTCATAAATCACAAAATTCCCCACTCCAGTCGAATAATCCAGACAGAAAGAGGGAGACGGCGACACACGTTCCCCGCCAGGCCTTGCATATTCACATGTCTGTCCCGCTCTTTCCGAGTCCGAGTCTGTGGTGATGGTGACAACCCTGCCGAAAATCCCCAACTAACTAACGGTAACTTGCTGTCGGAAATGAAACTTCCCCGACTTGCACAAAGCATGTAAACCAAACAAAAAAAGGGCATAATAAAAGGGAAGGGGCATGGTAAACTTTAAAATATTTCGGTCTTGTCCCTCGCTCTCTTTGCATTGTGTTCGTCCTGCATTCTCCGCTTTTCCTGCCTCTGCCCCCTCTCCCACCCACTTTCCAGGCATTTCCCTTTTGTTAACGAAATAATTTTCTTGCCTCCGACGCTGCCAAAGCCAAAAGCTTCCCTTTCAATTACACATTTCCCAATGATGGCGATTGAGCGGGAGCATCGGGCATCGGGATGGGCAAAATGGCGCGAAAGGACAATGGCAGCGGCGGAAGGAAGCGTGCGTTCGTTCGTTCGTTCGTTCGCTCGTGTCTGTGTGCTGTGTGCTGAGTGCTGTCTTTCTGTGTTCTGTTCTCTGTGTGCCCGAGGGCCAAAACGGATGCTGGCAAATCGCTGGACTGTGCCCCGATCTCTCTGCCTATATCAGACATGTGGACATGGATGTGGGCGTGGGTGTGGGTGTGGATGTGGATGTGGGTGGAAAAGCGAGGGGCCAGAGCCTTGGGGTAGGCAAAGGCAAAGAAACCCACTCAAGCACAAGCGAGATGATAATAATGTCTGATGTGTGTTTTGTCTGTTCTTCCTGTTTTTGCCGCTTCTGCGGTTGCCGCGGAGTGGGTGAAATGCCTGCTCACTGTATGATTTATGTTCGTCTGATGTGATTTATTCAAGCGAAGAAATTGCTAAAATTTGATTTGCCATAACAGATTTTGCCACACTTTAATTGCAAACGTCTAGAGAATTAGGAAAATGTTTTGGATTTCATTCAAGTTTTTGACTGCACATATTTAATAATCGATATGCAAACAAGAAAAAAAGAAAATATATATACTTTATGGGGTCGCAAATTTCTCCTTCACTGCGTTGCAAACTTCTGACTGAAATTATAATACCCTATCCAAGGGTATAAAAATAAGGAAAAGTTTTATTTTAAGGCCAACAAGTAATTTCAAACCAACTACAACGCCATCTTATGTTTTTTTCTTGAACTTTCGTCGAAACGTGTCAAATGTCAAAGAATCGTCAAATTTGACAACACCACTCCCGAAAGTATGCCACGAAAATTAGAGGAAAGGAGGCGCCATCTAGCAGAATGTCAGCGAACTGACAGGTTTCAAACTGAAGTTGACGATTCGAACAGTGGTGGTCATCCAGCAGCAAAGTGCACACAAAGTGTAGTTCGGATTGATTTTTTGTCATACGTAACATCTAATTACTTTATAATTTTTAAATTAAAAAGTTTAGTTTATAGTTTATATTAAAATTAGTATATATTTTTTGTAGCAATATTTTTTAGCTGAAAGCTTAGCATAGGAAATAATAATTAGACACTTTCTTTCCGAAATGGACCAAATCGTGATGCAAATCTAGTTACCTCAACTCTAAAAATCTTATTTGTTTGTCATTACAAACTAGTCCTACATGGTCTTTGCTCGCCTCTTAATGTAAAATTGTTAATATTTTGAAAACAAAACAAAACAAACAAAACCAAATCGACCAAGCAATAACCCTGGTGCACTTAAAATTTGTATACTTGCTTTTATTTGAAGCTTTCTAAAGCTTTCATCCTCGCATGTAAATTTATCTTGTTCATTCTTTAATTTATTTTAGACACTGTGTCTTAAAATTACAAGAAGTTTATGCACCTCTGTCCCACTGTGCAATGGCATTGCTCGTGCATTCTGGTTAAGCCAAGACAGCAACCATAGTTTTAAGCCCAGCCCACTTGGCCACGCACACACATTCCCTCTCATTCTCTCTCTATCTCTTTCTCTCTCAGAAAAATGTAGGAAAAAATAACAATGATTTTTAATGGAATTTGCAGTGTTATTTTAAATTTAAAAAAATAATTGTCCTCATTAAAAATTGCGGACTTATTTCATAATTGTTAAATTAAAATCAAATAGACGCCGACAGCATGGACACGCCATGTGGGCAGTCCCGTTACCAGTTTAAAGCCACACACCAAGTCGGGCCAAAAGCGGATCCGTCGGGGAAACGGAGGGCCATTGGACGTGGTTATCCATCACTCACTCGGAGATGGAGATTTTAACCAGAATTCGGCTAATGAGCCATCAACACGTTCCCAACCCGCTTATCCACTCCCACGCATGCGCCGTCCCTGTCTAACCAACGTGTCCGGAACAGAGCTACAATGAAATGAATGACTTCTTTCTTCGGCCATCAACTTTAGCTTCAGCCATTTTGATTTACGACTGCCAGTGAAACTGTGACTGCTCTGCCGTCGCATACCTCTACTTATAGGGATGAAAACTAGAGATCTACGGAAGTACTTCCAAAATATTTGAATCGGTTTTTTTTACAGTTACATTTTCTAATAAAATACTGCAGTAATATTAAAAAATGTGAGAACTTAATGTATTAATTTTCATATAGAAGACCTGTTATTTTCAGTATAGGTGTACATAACACATATAAATATTTTTTTTCCTAGAGGTTCAGACGCGATGTAAACAAAATTCTAGGTTGCTTTTCCAACTTAATTGCTTTATATCTTATAAAAAATATAAAATTACCAAAACTAACTTTTGCTACGAAATCAGGCATTTAAATATTTGAAAATCGCTGAAATGTACATTTTGACGTCTTCCTTTTTCAATTTATCGTTACCAACTTTTTTGTTCATTTTGCGCCGTTAGACGAAGGCGTCGCCCGTCAGCTGTCAGTTCATGTTCTCGTTCTGGCTGTTCTTGTTGCCACTGCCACTGCCTCCGCTGGCTGAGTTGCCATTGTTGGCGGCATCATTTGAAGAAGGGCGTCCAAGAGGAAGCGGCAACGGTAAACTTATAGCCAGCTAGTGCGTCTCATCTTCAGGTGGAACGTTGGTGGAGGTGCTGGTGCTGGGTGGATGTTTCTCAATTAAACCAAGTGGGGAGAAGCGTTCTGCTCGGCTGATCTGACGCTGGTCGACCTCTGCCGGCGGCTTGAATTGCTGCTTTGCATTTTATTTAAATAATAATTGGCCTGACTAAGTTTTAGCAGAGCGAGAAAGAGGAGGGGTTGGACGGAAGACGAGACGCATGGCATTGGCCTTAAAAGCTAAGAAGGTGTACGAGAATATGCGCTCCAATTAGGGGAATCGCACAAGAAACTCAGAAGAATGAGGAAATTTAATTAGAAGCGCTTTTTAAAAAAGAGTTTTGAATAAATCAAAGATAGCATCAATTTATATCCAGATTCTCCAGAAGTTCATATACATATATTATTCATTGCAGTAAATAAATTTGCTCTTATTATTAAGACGATGATTTATGTAACTCAATATTTCTAATACGCAATAAACTTTATATTATTGTATATTTATCCTGTGGCATTTTTAAAATAATTTCAAACATTTTCGACTTAGATAACATCTGCTTTTACAAACGACCTTGAAATCAAGCGTAATCAATCCATGTCTGGCATAAAATGTATTCCAAAGTAATCACCTGAAAAGAAGAAGACTCCGAAGTACGTGCTCTTTAAGGGGGGGCCAAAAAAAATGCCAG